GATTATTTTACTAACAGTGGATTTACTAACAGTAGATTTACTAACAGTTGATTAATTTATTAACAGTTGATTATTTTATTAACAGTGGATTTACTAACAGTAGATTTACTAACAGTTGATTAATTTATTAACAGTTGATTAATTTATTAACAGTGGATTAATTTATTAACAGTTGATTAATTTATTAACAGTTGATTAATTTATTAACAGTGGATTAATTTATTAACAGTTGATTAATTTATTAACAGTGGATTAATTTATTAACAGTTGATTAATTTATTAACAGTTGATTAATTTATTAACAGTTGATTAATTTATTAACAGTGGATTAATTTATTAACAGTGGATTAATTTATTAACAGTTTATTTACTAACAGTTGATTAATTTATTAACAGTTGATTAATTTATTAACAGTGGATTTACTAACAGTTGATTAATTTATTAACAATTGATTAATTTATTATTAGAGGATTAATTTATTAACAAGGGATTAATTTATTAACAGTTGATTTACTAACAGTTGATTAATTTATTAACAGTTGATTAATTTATTAACAGTGGATTAATTTTCTAACAGTTGATTAATTTATTAACAGTTGATTAATTTATTAACAGTTGATTAATTTATTAACAGTTGATTAATTTATTAACAGTTGATTAATTTATTAACAGTTGATTAATTTATTAACAGTGGATTAATTTATTAACAGTGGATTTACTAACAGTTGATTAATTTATTAACAGTTGATTATTTTATTAACAGTTGATTAATTTATTAACAGTTGATTAATTTATTAACAGAGGATTAATTTATTAACAGTTGATTAATTTATTAACAGTTGATTAATTTATTAACAGTGGATTTACTAACAGTTGATTAATTTATTAACAATTGATTAATTTATTATTAGAGGATTAATTTATTAACAAGGGATTAATTTATTAACAGTTGATTTACTAACAGTTGATTAATTTATTAACAGTTGATTAATTTATTAACAGTGGATTAATTTTCTAACAGTTGATTAATTTATTAACAGTTGATTAATTTATTAACAGTTGATTAATTTATTAACAGTGGATTTACTAACAGTTGATTATTTTATTAACAGTGGATTTACTAACAGTAGATTTACTAACAGTTGATTAATTTATTAACAGTTGATTAATTTATTAACAGTGGATTAATTTATTAACAGTGGATTTACTAACAGTTGATTAATTTATTAACAGTTGATTATTTTATTAACAGTTGATTAATTTATTAACAGTTGATTAATTTATTAACAGAGGATTAATTTATTAACAGTTGATTAATTTATTAACAGTTGATTAATTTATTAACAGTGGATTTACTAACAGTTGATTAATTTATTAACAGTGGATTTACTAACAGTTGATTAATTTATTAACAGTTGATTAATTTATTAACAGTGGATTTACTAACAGTTGATTTATTTACTAACAGTTGATTAATTTATTAACAGTTGATTATTTTATTAACAGTTGATTAATTTACTAACAGTTGATTAATTTATTAACAGTTGATTAATTTATTAACAGTGGATTTACTAACAGTTGATTAATTTATTAACAGTTGATTAATTTATTAACAGTTGATTAAATTATTAACAGAGGATTAATTTATTTACAGTGAATTAATTTATTAACAGTGGATTTACTAACAGTTGATTAATTTATTAACAGTGGATTTACTAACAGTTGATTTATTTACTAACAGTTGATTAATTTATTAACAGTTGATTATTTTATTAACAGTTGATTAATTTATTAACAGTTGATTAATTTATTAACAGAGGATTAATTTATTAACAGTTGATTAATTTATTAACAGTTGATTAATTTATTAACAGTGGATTTACTAACAGTTGATTAATTTATTAACAATTGATTAATTTATTATTAGAGGATTAATTTATTAACAAGGGATTAATTTATTAACAGTTGATTTACTAACAGTTGATTAATTTATTAACAGTTGATTAATTTATTAACAGTGGATTAATTTTCTAACAGTTGATTAATTTATTAACAGTTGATTAATTTATTAACAGTTGATTAATTTATTAACAGTGGATTTACTAACAGTTGATTAATTTATTAACAGTTGATTATTTTATTAACAGTGGATTTACTAACAGTAGATTTACTAACAGTTGATTAATTTATTAACAGTGGATTTACTAACAGTTGATTAATTTATTAACAGTTGATTATTTTATTAACAGTTGATTAATTTATTAACAGTTGATTAATTTATTAACAGAGGATTAATTTATTAACAGTTGATTAATTTATTAACAGTTGATTAATTTATTAACAGTGGATTTACTAACAGTTGATTAATTTATTAACAATTGATTAATTTATTATTAGAGGATTAATTTATTAACAGTGGATTAATTTTCTAACAGTTGATTAATTTATTAACAGTTGATTAATTTATTAACAGTTGATTAATTTATTAACAGTGGATTTACTAACAGTTGATTAATTTATTAACAGTTGATTATTTTACTAACAGTGGATTTACTAACAGTAGATTTACTAACAGTTGATTAATTTATTAACAGTTGATTATTTTATTAACAGTGGATTTACTAACAGTAGATTTACTAACAGTTGATTAATTTATTAACAGTTGATTAATTTACTAACAGTGGATTAATTTATTAACAGTTGATTAATTTATTAACAGTTGATTAATTTATTAACAGTGGATTAATTTATTAACAGTTGATTAATTTATTAACAGTGGATTAATTTATTAACAGTTGATTAATTTATTAACAGTTGATTAATTTATTAACAGTTGATTAATTTATTAACAGTGGATTAATTTATTAACAGTGGATTAATTTATTAACAGTTTATTTACTAACAGTTGATTAATTTATTAACAGTTGATTAATTTATTAACAGTGGATTTACTAACAGTTGATTAATTTATTAACAATTGATTAATTTATTATTAGAGGATTAATTTATTAACAAGGGATTAATTTATTAACAGTTGATTTACTAACAGTTGATTAATTTATTAACAGTTGATTAATTTATTAACAGTGGATTAATTTTCTAACAGTTGATTAATTTATTAACAGTTGATTAATTTATTAACAGTTGATTAATTTATTAACAGTTGATTAATTTATTAACAGTGGATTAATTTATTAACAGTGGATTTACTAACAGTTGATTAATTTATTAACAGTTGATTATTTTATTAACAGTTGATTAATTTATTAACAGTTGATTAATTTATTAACAGAGGATTAATTTATTAACAGTTGATTAATTTATTAACAGTTGATTAATTTATTTAATTTATTAACAGTGGATTTACTAACAGTTGATTAATTTATTAACAATTGATTAATTTATTATTAGAGGATTAATTTATTAACAGGGATTAATTTATTAACAGTTGATTTACTAACAGTTGATTAATTTATTAACAGTTGATTAATTTATTAACAGTGGATTAATTTTCTAACAGTTGATTAATTTATTAACAGTTGATTAATTTATTAACAGTTGATTAATTTATTAACAGTGGATTTACTAACAGTTGATTAATTTATTAACAGTTGATTATTTTATTAACAGTGGATTTACTAACAGTAGATTTACTAACAGTTGATTAATTTATTAACAGTTGATTAATTTATTAACAGTGGATTAATTTATTAACAGTGGATTTACTAACAGTTGATTAATTTATTAACAGTTGATTATTTTATTAACAGTTGATTAATTTATTAACAGTTGATTAATTTATTAACAGAGGATTAATTTATTAACAGTTGATTAATTTATTAACAGTTGATTAATTTATTAACAGTGGATTTACTAACAGTTGATTAATTTATTAACAATTGATTAATTTATTATTAGAGGATTAATTTATTAACAGTGGATTAATTTTCTAACAGTTGATTAATTTATTAACAGTTGATTAATTTATTAACAGTTGATTAATTTATTAACAGTGATTAATACTAACAGTTTTACTAACAGTTGATTAATTTATTAACAGTTGATTATTTTATTAACAGTGGATTTACTAACAGTAGATTTACTAACAGTTGATTAATTTATTAACAGTTGATTATTTTATTAACAGTGGATTTACTAACAGTAGATTTACTAACAGTTGATTAATTTATTAACAGTTGATTAATTTATTAACAGTGGATTAATTTATTAACAGTTGATTAATTTATTAACAGTTGATTAATTTATTAACAGTGGATTAATTTATTAACAGTTGATTAATTTATTAACAGTGGATTAATTTATTAACAGTTGATTAATTTATTAACAGTTGATTAATTTATTAACAGTTGATTAATTTATTAACAGTGGATTAATTTATTAACAGTGGATTAATTTATTAACAGTTTATTTACTAACAGTTGATTAATTTATTAACAGTTGATTAATTTATTAACAGTGGATTTACTAACAGTTGATTAATTTATTAACAATTGATTAATTTATTAACAGTTGATTAATTTATTAACAGTTGATTAATTTATTAACAGTTGATTAATTTATTAACAGTTGATTAATTTATTAACAGTTGATTAATTTATTAACAGTGGATTTACTAACAGTTGATTAATTTATTAACAGTTGATTTACTAACAGTTGATTAATTTATTAACAGTTGATTAATTTATTAACAGTGGATTTACTAACATTTGATTAATTTATTAACAGTTGATTAATTTATTAACAGTGGATTTACTAACAGTTGATTAATTTATTAACAGTTGATTAATTTATTAACAGTGGATTAATTTATTAACGATAATAATGAAAGTTAGAGAATGATAAATAATCATTGGGACTCGACACTAGAAGAGGCTCGACATTGTAGATCAGCAGCTAAGGTGAGAGATCTTTTGCCATTCTCATAGCGACGTGTGGTCTCTCAAATCCTCAGATATTATGGGAAAAGTCCCAAAATGATATGTCTGACTATATTTTGAACAGACTACAACAAAATAATCCCAATGTCACATATTATGATTTAGTTTATAACGAGGCGCTAACTAAGATTCAAGACCAAGTGATGGCTAGATTTGGGAAGACATTATCAGATTTTGGAATGAACCGGCCACAAGGAATCGGAGAAGTCATTAGTGATTTAATAAGAGAACTGGACATCAATGTCTCTTCTTTACAGCAGCAAATATCAGAGTCTGTTCCTCGATTGAACACGGAACAAAAATTAGTTTATGATATTGTTGTGCAAAGAATCGATAATGGTGAGGGTGGATTGGTTTTCTTAGATGCGCCAGGAGGCACTAGGAAAACTATTCAATAAATTTACTTTTAGCCCAAATCCGAAAAGACAAAGGAATAGCTGTTGCCGTAGCTTCCTCTGGGATTGCGGCGACGGTGCTCGATGGAGGCCGCATGGCACATTCAGTACTTAAACTCCCATTAAATTCCAGTTTGTAACATTACAAAAAACAGCGATAGAAAGCGATCGAAAACAGCGAATGGGCAGATAGCTGCTTGCCATCTTTTCTATGTTCGGAGCCTCAGTGACCCTACATTGTTTTAAGTACCTAACTAAGCAGATAATATTTTAATAAGGCAAGCGACTGTTACTTGTCCAAACTTGCGTATTCGATATTACGTACAATTTCGTGTACAGACTTGCAAAGCGCTATCCGCCCGACAATGCTTAATGCTTGTTCAGACATGAACTTGATCACCACTATAAATACTTGATGCCAAAGGCAAACACTCATTCATTTGTTTCCAAAATTTCTAAAATTTTATTTTACCTATCGGAATATAGAGACAGAACTCAGAAGTGACACAATTTTTATTTTTTGGCGACTTTAAGAATGTGGTAGAAATGTAGCAGCAGGGGGTCCACCGAAACCAGTAAAATTTTGAAAGTGGTCCACGAGAAAAATAAGTTTGGGGACTACTGATTTAATGTAACAAAACTTTTTATTTAAAGGCTAGCATCTCGTGCACGGGGGCGCGGTTTCGATCCTGGCAAGTACCAATGTCACTTTACCGAGTCATATGTACTTTCTGATAGTATTTAAGACACCACTGACAGACGATGAAGGGAAACATCGTGAGAAAACCGGGGCTTATAATTTCACAATTTTATGTTTGATATCACCAATCCGTCTTGAGCAAGCGTGGTGATTAATGCTCAAACCTTCTCTATGTGAGAAGAGGCCTTTGCTCAGCAGTGGGCTCCGATAGGCCGATGACGAATCAACAAGATATTATTTTACAACCATATATTTTTATTTTGTTTTTAGAGTCTAAGATATCATATCTGTTTTAAGACAGATTTGCTTACAAAGAAACGGAATTACAAATAAAAACATTGTAATTGTTCTCATGTTTGAAGAAAATTCGAATAATAAAATAAAGCAAACGAGGGTTTACAAACTTGGAAGCTTCAAACAAAATATAACGTGATAGGTCACGAACCAGTAAGCTAGAAAGAATAATATTTCATGAACGTAAACTTGTAATAAAGAATTTTTAAAACAAAATACAATTTGTAAAAAGATTTTTAGTTACCACAGGGGTTTCTCATTGCCTTTCATATATGAATAGATTATTTTTTTTCTTGCATTTTTTGGCAAAAGTCAATACAGTAATAATAAAGACAAGATATCCAATAAAAAAGAATTTTGTAAACCTTTTTTTTATTTATTATTTTTATATCGATTCACTAATGCAATAAATAATTTTGTGGTTCAAAGGGAACAAAACAAACAAGCCTGCTTATAAGATGAGCACAAAAAACAGCTCAAGAATTAATATAAAAATTTTTAGTTATTGAATATTTTAATCCAGAAATATTAATTTATAATTTGAAAAAACAGGTATATATATAATTAATTTGTTTCTATGTATATAAACTCTATTTAAACAAATTCGCTGGATTTACTATAACTTCGATGCTATTAATTTGTTTAAAGTCAGTAAAGTTGTAATTTCGGAATCATCTCTGGACGCAGCTGAGCAAAGATTTGAGTACTAAGTTGAGAACATCAACCTACAACGACCTTACTTCATTTACAACTCAGGAATAACTTAGAAATTCAATTTGCAGTGGTCGTCTGCAGGACTCGAGTTGAAACTAGAGACAACTAAAATATTACTCGTGACATTGATTTGCGCTTTACATTATACTAGCTTTTGTTGTGGTTTATACTGTCTAGATGACTACACAATTTTGCTGCCAAAATCAAAATGTCAAACGTATTTTTTGTTATAAAATATAATTTAAAAAACTGGTCAACGTATTACATATCAGCATAGTTTGTTTAGGTATGAATCTTTTTTTAACATTAATAAGGATACCCACTTTATGGTCAAAGTAAAGTAGCGCACTCTTTACTTACAAGAAATAAGGTCTTAAATTTGACAGCACGTCAAATATTCAAATTCTGTATGATTGGTTACATTTTATTTGCATTATTGTCAAAAGAGTCACAAGTAGTATTTTTTAAAGATTATAATTAAAATATAGGTATCAAAATATAACATAAAAAATCTTTTTAAAGTTAGTACAATTATTATACAAATGGAGAGCATAATAATCGAGTACTGAAATATCCCATGACCATCTAATATTCTTATATTGAAATACACAAAATATAATATAGCTTAACGTAACACAACATAAAATAACATTAAGAATGCAATATAAATATAAACCTTAAACTTAAATTTGAATGAGGTGAAACGCCTCCACCTTTCTTTTGCTCACAGCAACGGATTGGAACAGTTTGCCTCCGTCCGTGTTTCATCCCACTTGCAATGTGAAGAAGAAATTGATTAGATAACAATAGGTAAGTTAATAAGAAGAGTAACAAATCAGATGTAACACAACCTACTTACGATCAGTTGGAGAACTAGTCAAACACCATAGAAATTAATCCTTATTAAAAAATTGTAAATATCTATTTACCAAGCAGTTATAATATAATAATCTCTAGCTCTATTTAGATTCAACATATGTCATAGCTGTCTAGCTTAAGCGAGGCAAGATAATAAGTAAAATTTTCAATTGCAGATTTAAACTCAATTACTATGGTATTAGAAAATATATTTTACTTCTCGGAAATTATAATTGAAAGTGTTATTGTGTTCTTTTATTTATGTTATTATTTTGCTGATAACATAAACCATACGAACAGTATAAAGGAGTTCAAGACAGTCGTATAAGGCGGTGAAATAGCATAAGATGACAGGACACTCTACATAGGGGGACGTCTTTAAAGGCTTACTATTTAAAATCTTGAATCCCAAGGGTGGTGCAAAAATAAACTAACGTAATATATATTATTATATCTGTAACGAATCAAAATAAGACAACTGTAGGAAAAAGAACCAAATGTGTTTTTTAAACATTCAGTATGTTTTATTAACAAGAAGTAATGCTCTTTCTGGAGATATTGAACCAGTATTTTTATGTACTGAACATAAATACAGGTCCCCTCACTTTCTTTGTTGTTACAATGGAGGTAGTAGGATAAAAGCAAAGTGATTACTCACGACTCTGTACTTCAAATCGAGCTAGTAGTTATTTAAAGATTCTGAGTTCTTTAAAAATACATTATATTTTCCCACGACAAAAGCGCGGAAAAAACTCAACATGTTCTATAAAGAATTTGACCCCAGCTGTGTGCGATTGAGGTCCCATACCATACCATACTATACCATAGGACTTAGATCACAAACATTTTTATCCAACTAGAACTCCGCTCGTCTGCACCAATCAGACATTAAAAGATGCAAAGATAGTAATGCCAGTCATGTAGGGGACGTTGATAAGCCTCTACTGGAATTAATTATTATTATTAAAAAAGAAAAACACAAAAACTCCTATAACACAAACTATAGAGCATTACGTAGTAAGAGTGAGAAAAGCTTTCCTGTACTTGGAATATGACAGCTAATACAGTAAACTGGTTACTCTTTCTCTTTAATTCGTCATTCATCCTGGGTGTTACAAGAAGACCTCTAGAAAGGCCAATCTGACTGCTATAGAAAAACATGTGTGAGCTTGAAACCAGGAACCGTAACCTGTATCAAATATTTAAAGAGGATGAGTACGTATGTCGAAAAAGCTTTCAACTTCGGATAAACGGTGCAACACAAAAATTACTCCATCGGATGCCTATACTTATAAACCGGATACTCCAGTACGCCATATTGCCTTCAGACCCTTCTCACTTCATACATCACATTTTGTTAAAATAATATTTGTACTTGTTCCAAAATCAAAACAATTAAAGAAGTGAAAAAAGAGAAAGTTTTTGTGTAAAATATTTATGTGCCCAGCCAAAATTTCTTATAACAATAACACCGCATTAGAGCACCTTGTATTTCTATGTTATTCTATAATATATTGTATGCAATAAAGTAATTAAATAAATAAAAGTCTAAAAAAGGGATTAATATGTAATACATCGTATGAGCGTATTTTATCAAATAACTCTATTCGCTATCTTGCGGTAGGCATTTATTCTTCTCCCTGCCATATAAAAGTGGAGTAGCTCAGGACTCCGTTTAGGTTTTACTGGTCACATCTGACTCACGCCATCGTAAAAGTGACAGTTTACTATCTTTATCCCTATTTTCTTCTAGACGGAATACATTCTAGAAACATGTTTTTTGTTAAATTAATAATATAAATTGGTATCATACGTACTCAGATATCAAAACTATATACATTCACACTATTTTTTTATCGAAGTGCGACTTCATGCATGTTGCTGTGACGGTCTACCATTGAAGGACGACATATAACTATACGAATTATACGCACATGGGTACTCTCTACAAATACATGCGTTACCTTACTTTATATATAAAACAGAATAGTGGTAATTTTCATTTAAATTGATTCTATTCGTTATACCTAGTGAAATTTATTTTATTATACAGTTTTGAATTATGAACTATTTTACGTCTGTATTGCAATTTATTTATACATATTAGGAAATACTAATAATTTAATGATTATTTATAATAACTTATCCTAATTAAAAATATAAAATTAAAACAAAATATCACGATGTCAAACGTACTTCTGATACGATCTATATAAAACACCACATTTTGATAAGACCTACTTTTCTCACTGTCCATGTTATTATTTTCTCAATTTATACTAATGAGTGTGAAAAGCTTTTGACGGTCGGATAAAAACTGGGCCAGGGGCAACAAGACGGAGTGCATTCTTGTCTAAAGTGCTTTTAAAATAATGTTCTTAATGGACTTAAACAAAAAAAAACTTTAAAACATCTAGATGTAATGTTGCTTTTTTAT